GGGGTTTTCTTTTCCCCCCTCTGCGTACAATTTGGACTTAGGTTCTGCTCCTCCCTGGGTTCGGTTCCGTGTCCCTGCGGATTCTTCTGTTCTGTCTTTCTGTAGGTTTTCGGCTTCCCGCATCTCGCTACAGGCTGTTCTCGCTATCTCCTTGGAATCCGCTTGGGCCCCTTTTTCTTAGGTTGTCTTCCTCTTTTTGTCCTCTGCTTTTTGAGGCCTCTGTGGTTGAGCGTTATCTTCAGGCGACTACTTCCACTTGCCGTCCTATGTTTGAATTGTTGGTTCTCCGGAGAAACCTGAGGTTACCTTCTCGGCAGGGTCGTGCCAGGGCTTGCGGTTCCATTCGTCAGGGTCGGCCACAGGTGTTGGGTTTGGTGCCGGTGCCGCCTGCGGTCCCGACTGTGGCTGGTCGACGCGATGTTTGCTCTGCACGCAGGTCAGCTTGTTGTAAGGGGGTGCGGCTCTTTTGCGGTTCTCTCCATTGATGGGGCGGTGGGGGAAAGCTTGCTCTGTTCGCTCACACCTGGTTTCACGATTTGTGGGCTTTTCGGATAATTTCTCTCCCCCTGTGGTGGCGTTGGGTGGCTCCTCCTTTGGGGGGTTTGGGGCTGACAGGGCAGGCTTCCTCTCCTGCGCTGTCGGGTCATCTTGGAGTGGGTGAGCTTGGGTGTGGTCGAAACGAGGATGTCTCTCAGGTGGGTTTCCCGCCTGTTTCCAGTTACGAAAACGGACTGTGCAGACCTGTTCATTCTGGACTTGTCCCGTATGAACACTTGGGTTTCTTGCCCCTTGTTTCGGATGACCACTCTGTCCCAGATCCGGCTTCTGTTGGAGCCGGGCACTTGGATGGTGTCCCTGGACCTCAAGGACGCATATTGGCATGTCCCTATTCATCTGGGGTTCCGGGACTGGTTCGGTTTTGTTGTGGGGTGTCAGAGTTACCGCTTTCGTTGTCTCCTGTTCAGAGTGAATCTGGCACCTCGCGTGTTCACACGCCTTACCCGGGTAATGGTGGCTCGTCTGCATCTGTTAGGTGTTCGGGTGTTGGCTTACCTTGACGAATGACTGGCTCCCGGTCGGTCTGCGTGTCTGCTTGCCAGGGATTTGGTGTTTTCCCAGCTTGCTGGGTTCGGGTACCTGGTGAACTGGAGAAAGTCCCATCTGATCCTCTCCCAGGTTCGGTCCTGGTCTTGTGTGGGACTCTCGGACCGCTTCCTTGTCTTTTCCTTCGGCGTCTCTCCTTCGGCTGCGGTCCCACATGTGCTTGTTCCTGGGGGGGCTCCCGAGTCACCCGGCGGTTACTCGAGGGTCTGTGCGGGAGCCTGAACTTTGCGATGTTGGTCTTCCCGCCAGGTCAGGTTTGGCTTCGTCGGCTGTTCTGATTCCTTCGGGGACGTCCCTTACGCCTCTCTCGCGATCTCTGCGTTCAACCCCCGGGGGGGCCTTGTATCAGCTGCTGTGTCGCCGGCTTCTTCTTTGGGTTTTTTGGGGTTCTGTGCCTTGGCGTCTTCCCGAGCCCTCGCTCGGGAAGGCGTCTCGGATGCGTCGTCTCTAGACTGGGGCTTTGTGACCAGTGCTCACCAGGCTGGCCAAGGATGGTGGATTCCTTCCTTCTGTTGGGCCCACAGCACGGTGCGGGAGTTTGCGGCGGTGTGGTTTGCACTTCAGAGGGTTCGGGTCACCCGCGGATCGATGATCCGGCTTCATTTGGACTGCTCCTTGGTGGTTCATTGCCTGAATCGGGAAGAGGGGTGTTCGATGCGGTCCTTGGCTCTTTGGGGTTGGTCGCTTCGGGTGACTCATCTGCTGAGTTCCCGGGGTTTGGCTCTGCTGGTGGTTCACGTCCGGGGGAGTGTCCAACGTCCTGGCGGATGGCCCTGTCCTGGTTTGTTCCCCTGTCCACGGAATGGAAGGTCGATGTTGACTCATTCATTTGGCTCTGCCAGACGGTCGGGCACCCCGGAGGTGGATCTCTTCACGTCGGTGTGGTCGAGGCATCTTCTGCTATATGTGGCGCCCTTCCCTGACTGCGAAGCTGTCAGGATCGATGACTTTTGGCAGGACTGGTCAAGATGGGGGTTCCTGTACCTCTTTCTCCCAGTTCAGCTGTTGCTCCAGGTCCTGGCTTGCTTGGAGACTTCCAAGGGGTGAGTAGTTCTTTTGGCCCCATGATGGCCGGCCCAGCCATGGTTTCAGGCGCTGCCTGCCCGATGTCTGAACCCGGAAGTTTTTCGGCGGGTCTGCCTCTTTCAGGAGATCGGCCCGGTCTGGTGCGAGACCGGTTTGCTCTTCTCCTTGAGTCTTCACGTTTCGTGTTTTTGACTCTGGTTGATCACCATCTCTATGGTGATTGGGTGGCCTCTTTTTGCTAATTTCCCACCTATGGGTTTCTTCTCGGTGGCAGTATGAAGTTGGCGATCCTTCCGGTTCTTTTTGTCTCTTCGTCGTTGCTCTTCGTTTTCGGTTAGGGTAGTGGTTGGTTGCTCTCTTGGTTGTTCCAGGACCGTCATCTTATGCCTAATACTGTCGCCTCGCATCGTGCAGTGTTGGCGGAGCCGCTGCAGCTTGCTTTCAGTATCGATGTTACTTCTGCATCGTTTTACAAGCTGTCTCGTGCATTGTTTCACCTCCGGCCTGGTCATGTGCCGCTGAGCAGTCCTGGTCTTTGGACAGAGTGCTCTCCTATCTATCTTCTCCTCGGTTTGTTGTGGCCCCTTCGGTTCAGGATTGTTTTGCTAAGGCTCTTTTTCTGTTGGCATTAGCTTCTGGGGGTCAGGTGGCGAAGGTTCATACTCTTCTCCGGCGCAGAGGTTTTTGCTCTTTTGGTTGTGGTCACAGGTATGTTCGTCTGCAACCATCTTTTCTGGCAAAGAATGAGACTGCTGCTTTCCAGAGGTGTCCTTAGGTTGTTGATGCTTGGTTTGTCAGGCCGGGGGTTCATTGTGTTTTGTATCTGGTTGCGGCCCTCCGATGTTATCCGCTTTGGGTTGATCCGGTTTCTCTTCTTCCCTGTTCGTGGGTTCGGGTCTCTCAGGTCGTCCGCAGGGTTATTAAGTCTAACCAGCCTGCGGTCTATCCCTGTGCCCATGATGTTCATAAGTTTGCTGCTCCTTCTGCCGTCTTTGGCAATATGTCTTGGGCTGACATTCGGGCACGGGGTTTTTGGAGGTCGAACAGGGTCCTGGCTGCATGCTACCTCGTGAACGTTCCTGGGCCCATTCGGGTCTGTGTCACTTTGGGTCGGGGGTTGCAGCCCGTTGTCTCGACTACGAGTTGAGGAGTGACCACCTCCCGGGTAGGTTCCCTATCTTTTTATTTTGTCTTTGGTGAAATAGCTCCAGGGAGCCGTAGGGGCTTCCCCCAGAAAATCAGCATTGAATGTAATGAAACGCCCTTTTCTGGGTGAGTCCCAGAGGCTCTCTGGCAACCCTCCCTCCCTCTGGTCGGTGTTTTTTCGCGTTTTTGATATCCATCCTCAGAGCTGGGGTGAGGATCGCCGGCGTAGGGGTCTGGAGCTCCCTCTTCCCCCCTCCTGGGGAAGGGGGGAGCTGTGCAGACATACAGTGCAGCTCATGTGACGGCATGCTTGTTTGCTCGTATTTGTTTTGGGGAGTTCTATCCACTTGTTTGAAGATTTTCGTTGTTAACCAGAATAGGGGGTTTGTTTTTTGCACTTACCTTTCTGGGTGCCTGTCCCGGTCGATGACAGATATAAAATGCTCCAAATCACATGTGCATTCTATGGGCCATTGCTCCTCGTGCCTCTGTGAGGGGGGGCCAGGTTCTAGCTCGTGGTCCCCGGTTGGCCTAGAACTCCACCCACATCGACTGATGCAAAATAGTTACGGTATCCTTATCAGCCATGGATAGCTCCGGGGAGTCTCCGGGACTCGCCCAGAAAATGGCATTTCATTACATTGAACACTTTTTTTTCTGCCTGGTGGGGGGGGGGGGAGAGTCTGCCTTGTGTCCCTTGCCCCTAGTTATATTAGGGTTTTGACCTCCGGTGTTCAGTGGTACCCCCTGCTTGGCCCCCGTGAGTGGATACATCCCGGTGGTTCAGTTTTAGAAGTTTGTTGGCAGACTTGGGCGCCGGATAGCAGTACCCTTCCTGGGCCTACCCTTAACGATACCAGTCTAGGGGCCCTGGGAAACCCCACAGGGGTGCAAGGGGTCCAATGGATGCGACCCCTGTGTCCCCACCATGTGCGAGTTTGAGGGTTGCTCTGTCCCCTTGTCTCAGGGCAACGCTCATTGTTTTTACCTCTGTCATGCTGCCTGTTAGGTCGGTGATACCTTCGACCCCGAGTCCTGCGAGCATTGTTGCTTGTTTGAGACTCAATTCACCCAATCAACTGATGACATTATTCGGGTGCAGGTGGCTCAGGCGTTGCATGCTAGGTTTTGGTTGCTGTAATGTGCTAGGTTGGTTGCTTCCCCGGATGCCCCGAGGCTGGCCTGCTTTGCTTTTAGGGACCCTTACTTGGGGGGTGCTGATCGCTTCAGCCTTGGTTCAACTCATTCACCCTCCCTGGGAGGGGGGGGGGGAGTTGTGCAGACAGTGGCGTGGCAGGTGTGATGACTTCATGCTCGTTTTACTTGTTTTCTGATTGGGGAGTTCTGCTTGCTCGTTCGGCTTTCGGTTAGCGATTTTTCACCAGCTGTAGTTTGTTTTGAGATTCCTACCTTTTGCGTGCCTGACCTGGTGGATGGCACATATAGACTGCTTCCAACTACATGGGGGTGTCTATTGGCCATTGCTCCTCGTGCCTCTCTGAGGGGGGCCAGGTTCTGGCTCTGGTCTCCAGTAGGCCTAGAACTCCATCGATTGACTATTGCTACGGTCTAACATATACACATCAGCCCGGTATAACTCCGGGGAGCCTCCGGATCTCACCCAGAAAATGGGGTTTCATTACATGAAACACAATTTTTTTTTTCACATTTTGATGCATAGGATCCATTATTAACGAGACCTAATTGTCCGTTTAAACTTTCAGTGAGCCAATTAACATTCTTAAACGAGGAAGGGCAAGTGTTGGAGCTCGTGCTGTACAAGAAAGTGACACAAATTCTGATGAAGATGAAGATGAAGAAATTAGCTTTAAGAAACGGTCACCTCCTGTCATACCTCAAGTGAAATACCTTCCGGTACGTTAGTTGTGCTCTTTTTTTTAGAATTTCAAATAAAACAGCTGGTCTTAAAGATGGCAATAAGTTCTGTATTTGTATTCTTTATTTTTAAGTTATAAATTTTGTTTAACCCTTAAACTGCGCAACACGTCATATGACGTGTTGAGTAACTTATCGAAAAAGTGCACATCACGTCATATGACGTGTTGGAGTACTACGCAAGATTTAAATGGCCCGCGGATACACAGGGTTCACCACACCTTCATCAGGGCTCTTGTAAACAGACGCCATTTTAAAAAAAAATCGTGGGCCAAACTCCCAGGTGTTAGGGGCCTCAGTATTGAGTGAGCTACCAAGCCTGATGCACGCAGCATGAGCTCACAGCACTGCTGTTCAGCTTGTGACCACAGCATCGCCTAAAAGTGCCATAATATACTTGTTCATGCTATTATGCAGCGATGATATTATTACAGAAGACCCCTGACTATGATAAAACTGACCAGGGTTCTGATAACAGCAGGATTGTGGTGATATTTAGCGCTGTGCGCCATGGAGGGAGGAGTAATGCTGTGGGAGGGAGGGTGGTGGCGATGTCTTATGACTGTGTGTGGCCACCTTTTATTGACTGCACTCACCATACCAGCTTAGTGGTTCGCTATGGTGAACACAAATGTAGATACTTATATATAACATGTGTATAGAGGGTATAAACAGCAAGAGGAGTAGGTTGGGAGCCGCCATTTTGGTGACGGCGGTGGCGTCGTCTGCACGACGCCACCGTGCAGACGACGGTGTTGTTTACTGGTTACCACGATGGTCTTTAGGCACCATACCAGTTTACTTGTACAAGTATGGTGAATAAAACGGGTAGATATTTATATATAATGTGTGTATATAGCGTAATAACACCACAAACAGTATTGTTGGAGGAGAAATATAAGTGCGTCTGGCTTTGAGGGCGGCAGCCATCAGCTGACTGTGTGAGGACCTACGTTTTTGTGCCTTTACTCACCATACAAGCTTAGATGTACAGTTATGGTGAACAAAACATGTAAATACTTATATATAACGTCTGTATATAAAAGCAAAAACAGTATGGTGGGTGGAGAATGGTGGCAAGTCAGGTGAGGTGAGGGAGGGAGGGAGTGGCAGCCAGTGTCGGGCTGCCACTGCCTGCCAGACTCGCTGGCCAGGTCTTGGGCTGAGAGGATGTGCGCGCCTCCTCTCCCTCTTTGGGTTAAGTCCCTCGTCCCCAACCTTGTGCTGTGATCGCCGGGGTGGTATCGTCACAATACTACTGTGCTGGTGAGTGTTCCAACACTGTTGTATAAGTCACTAGTATCAAAGGAACCCTAGAGTGAACTAGTGAGTGGCGCCTGAGGCTTGGAGGCAGGCTAGCCTGCCCCCTCCGCTCCCTTAGGGGAAGCCTACCAAACATTAGTGTTTGATGCATTGCTAGTGCTAATAACACAGCATCACCTGTACAGTGTACCTGGGACTCACTGTAAAACTCTCTAGCAAGAACCACAGGGCATCTACAGCTTCAGGCAACAAACAGCAAGGAGAGTTGTGGGATCGTAATCTGACCCACAGCACGCTGGACTTGTGATCCTGTGGTCCTGGGTTCGATCCCAGGCGCCGGCGAGAAACAATGGGCAGAGTTTCTTTCACCCTATGCCCCTGTTACCTAGCAGTAAAATAGGTACCTGGGTGTTAGTCAGCTGTCACGGGCTGCTTCCTTGGGGTGGAGGCCTGGTCGAGGACCGGGCCGCGGGGACACTAAAAAAAGACCCGAAATCCTCTCAAGATAACCTCAAGATAACCCTTGTAGCAGGGTTAGGCTGTCTTAGGGGGACATTCTGTCCACACATAGGACATAGGAAAATAAGTCACTGAGGGCTACCCTCTGCGAGTCCCAACCAACCAAGTGGAATATCCAAGTGTTTATCCAAGTCGTCTGAGCACTCTCAAACCCACTGAGAGTGCTCTACCCCTCAGAGCAGGTTTATGACTGTTGGCGCTGATGACTGGTAAGGCATGCTGCCTGCTCTGCCATTTGTCGTGTTAATCATCATCATATGATTATCAATGCAAACCAGGTATCGGAGGAGGTTAGAGCAACAATTAATGCCGCCTGAAGAAGCAGGTATGGAGGAGGTAGCTGCTGGACCCTCAGGGCTCTCCCCTACCGTGACCAGTGACACTGTCACCCCACCACCCAATGATGGGTCTGTGGAGGTGGCAAATAGGAGGCAGAGAAGGAAACAAAGGAAACAGAAGCCTAGTGAACAACAGGGTGGAAGGCGTTCGATAGCACCAAGGAGTGAGTACACACGTCTGACCTTCCCTAAAGGCACGAGTGTGGCGGACAGGATTGTGTGGAGTAAGAAACTGAGCGTGGTGTACCCACTTGGCTCTGCAGGCGTGGTACATCCACACGTCAACTCCCCATATGTGTATGTTTTAAGAGAGAAGCAGCAGGTTGTGGAGGCTCTTCTACAAGGGGAAATAGGTGATGTAAAACTCTCCCTTCTAGATAATCCAACACAGAACAAGAAGATGGATGAATACCTAGTCTACAGGTACAGTCACGGATATCCACTGGAGTGGGCCTATGAATTAGACGGGGTACACAGAGCACAAAGATTGACCAAGAATGGTAAGCCTACTGATCAAATAGTCATAGTCTGGAAAGCCTGATCCGCCACCTGACCAGTATTGGTTTGGTGGGTTGTATGCGCGCCCCAGCACGTTCAGGGTGTGGGAGCCGAACCCTGTGGAGTGTTACGAGTGCTGTGGCAGTGGCCACATAGCCAAGTACTGCTGGCGCCCCACACCCAAGTGTGCTCTCTGTTCCGGTCCTCATGCACTGAAGGACTGTCAGTATAAGAAGACCAGAGACCAAAGAAAGCAGGAACAGGAGCAACAGAACACTGCAACAGAAGCAGGGCAACAACCTGAATCTGTGGCTCCGTCTAAACCGCCGCTGAAGTGTTTCAGATGTGGTACGGAAGGGGTCACCATCTGGCACTCAGACTGTACTAAACGGCCAGCCTTCCTTGGCACAAGGAGGCAAGTGCCCGAGACTCAACAAGTGTACAGAATGAGTTTACGTGAAGGAGTATTACCTGATGATTGGACAAAGAGTGTCATTGTTCCCATCCCCAAACCACACTCAGATAATTATAGACCCATATCTCTAACATTGTGTGTTTGTAAAGTGCTTGAACGTATTGTTCTTAACAGACTCATGTATTGTATACAGAGGCACCTATCACCTCAACTATTTGGATTTATGCCTGGGCTCAGTACACAACACTGTTTTGCTGAGTACTTCGCACATATTGAAGCTTCCCCTCAAGCAGTCTTCATCAACCTAGCAGCAGCTTTTGATACAGCAAACAGAGAAATCATACTGGAACAGCTTGCCGAGCTGGGAATACAAGGAAAATTACTGAAATGGATACAGGGTTATTTGTCTAATCAAACAGCATATGTTTTGTTTAATGGTGTTAAAAGCACAGAGAGCGAAAACTTTGAACTGGGAACTCCACAAGGAGGTGTCCTCAGCTCCTTGTTGTTCAACGTTCTGATGCATAAGCTTATTAAAGATCTTCCAACTAATAATGAAGACACTGTCATTTGTTATGCTGATGATATATGTTTACATGCTGCCTCCGAGCCTAGAATGCAAGTTCTGCTCGATGCTTTTGCTACTAGAGCTGAGGAATGTGGCCTCCTTATCTCTGTACAGAAAACTCGTGCCCTCATTCCATGTGGTAGTCCACCACCCAATTATCATATAGATGGGCGAGCACTTGAGAACTGCGAGTCTTACAGATACCTTGGTGTCCCCATTAACGACCCTGGGTACCTTTCTTCTCTCAAGAGGAGACTTTGGGAGAGATTAAAGCCCTTGCGTGTCCTTGTTGGTGTCAATCATGGAATCAACGTGAGACTTGCTAGAATGTTTTATGTATCATTTATGCGCTCTGTGATTGACTACAATGCTCTACATCTCACACTGTATACTGACAAAGAGCTGAAATCTCTTGAAACCTTGCAAAATGAAGCTATGCGTCTCATCCTTGGGGCTCCAAAGTCCACGAGAATAGTTAATATGAGAGCAGAGTTAAAATTACCTACCATAAGTGAGAGAATTTTGTCTATTAGCACAGTTTTTGGTGTGAAGGCATTGAGCAGATCCAGACAACACACAAAGTTTCAAGCTAAACTTTCTAATATGCTGCACTCACCTGAGGTCTATAGAAGAAGAACAAAATCTGATTATGTATTTTGGTTCTACAAGGTAGCCAATGCCATCAAAATATTAAATATGTACCCAACTCAATCAATGATTAATCAACCAATTGCTCCATGGGATAACTGGGATCTATCAGTTGATTTTGTAAATGTGCCCAAGAAAGATAGTGTGCACTCTACATAATTAAAACAGTTAACACTGAAAAGCATCGCTGAAAGTACTCAGAGTATGGGTAACGATGTGTATCAGTGCTATACCGACGGCTCTGTAGAAGAAGGTGGACGATGTACCGGATGTGCATGCAATATATTTGAACAATCTTCTCTCGTACATACAACAATGAAGCGCGTGAATGACTGGGCAAGTACAACTCAAACCGAACTTGCAGGCATATACCTTGCCACCGAATTTTTAAAAGACAAAGGCAGTGGACTTATATACTGTGACTTGCAGAGTCACTTGTTGGCATCTCAAGGCATGACACTGTTGATATGCTTGCAAAGACAGCCTGTAGAAAACCAGTGGTAAAAATTGATATGGGTGTTTCATTAGCAGTGACAAAGAGAATACTTAAACAAATATCTAATGAAGATCTCACCGACCTAACAAATTCACAAAGACCTGAAAGTTGTAGCATTAAATATTATGATAGATATCGTGAGGAGACATTCACATATGGGACTAATGGAACAAGAACCCGGCAATGTGATGTTATAGTGGTCAGAATACGCCTGGGATATAGACGTATCTGGCA